CACACACACACACACACACACACACACACACACACAGGGCGTAGGCTTGGGGACATGGGGGCGCAGAGAAACATGCTCGGCTCTGGCCGCATCGGCAGCAGGCGTGAGAGAGAAAGAGGGAGAGAAGTGCGGCCGCGCGAGATGCGAGCAGAGGGGCCAGACCTCGCCCCAGGCGGTGCAGCGGGGGGCCCGCACAAGCACGGCCTTGCCTTAGCGACCGGCGGACGGACCCCTGGCTGTTTGCCGCATCGACGCCGCGCGATGGGCCGGACGCCCGGGCGTGGCGTGATCTGCGCACACGTGCGGGGCCTGCACAGTCCGGTTAATCGCCCGAGGCGCCCGGGCGCGTGGGTTAACGCCTGCGCACTCGCCCAGCCAATAGGCTGGTCCGTCTGCCAGCCGACCCCGCTCGCTCCCCCTCCCCCCCCGCGCGCGCCCCACACCCCGCCCTGTCTCGGCGGGGAGAAGCAGGGAAACAATGTTATCATTTGCCTTGAGGCGCGACAACGTGCGGCCTGCGTTCCCGGGGCTGCTGGCTGCCCCCCCCCCCCCCCCCCGTTTCCCATGTGAACATACGACGCCCAGCCGCGCCCGCGCATGGATGGCAGGGCAGCTCTCTGCGGCCTTGACCGGCGATCATGGCTGCTTACCAAGAATCCCGGCTCACCGGACTGGGAGCCGGCCGCAGGTGAGACCGGGCCGCGGGGGCGAGGGTTGCGCGCGCGTGCGGCCTGGCGACTACCTGACACACGCGCCCCCCCCCCCTCCCCCAGGCGGCGGGTGTCTCCCTCTCCCACCCTCCCGGGGCGGTGGCCCCCATGCGTGTGGGCATGAGTCTGTGGGGGGGGATGTGTGTGTGCGTGTGAAGGGTGGCATGGGCCGGCGGAGGGCGCATCTGGGGACGTGGGGACCGGCGGCGGCGGCGGGACCCAATGAGGGGGCAGGCCCGGACCGCCACGTAGAGCACAATTACACCGACCGCCATTCCGCGGCCCGGGGCATGGCCGGAGAACCGGTGAGGGCGGGGCAGGGGGGGGGGGGCGCACATGCGCCACGGCGGGGAGACTCATCACCGCGCCCCGGACCACCGTCATTAGCCGGCCCCGGCCGCTGCGCCGAAAGCGCCGGTGTGAGTGATGTGTTAGTCGAGGGCGGGCGCGCGTTGCCGGGGCGGGGGCGCGGGGGGGCGCGCGGGGGGGCACTTGCGGCTCTCCCGGCCCGGCGCCCCGCAGGGCGCGCCAGCCTGAGGGCGCGCTGTGGCAGGCTCCCCGCCCTCGCGGGGTGCGAGGAGGGAGGGTGGTTGCGAGAGGGAGGGGGGGGGGGGGGCGGGGGGCGGGCTGACTGTCCGCCCGCCGGCCGCGCCCCAGCCCGGCTCAGGTCCGCAGGCCCCGGGGCCGGGGGCGGCATTCCTCGGCCGGCGTTTCTGGTCGGCCGCCGCCCCGGGCGCATGTGTGCCTCTCTCGTTCAGGGGTTGCGAACGCGCCGCGGGGCGCGGGGCGCGGGGGGGGAGGAGGGGCGAGGGCGGCCGCCCTCGCCCGGGCCCTGTTGTTGTTCCCCTCCGGCTGCCGGGGCAAGCCACCCCCTGAGGCAGGTTGGACGGTGGCGGCAGGGGCGCGGCCGCGAGCCGCTCGCAATCGGGTGAAAGCCGTTCTCCCCCCTGCCGCAGGGGGGCGGGGACCTTGTCGGGCATCGGGCCGGCGGCGTTCGGTCCGGCTGCGCATGACGGGGGACGCCCTCCCGCCCCCGCTGCAGACGGCCTGACCGCGGCCGGGAGATGCCCCCAGGCAGACGCCGGCAAACCGCGAGGATCGGCGATGCCGAGGGCCCCCGCGCACAAACGCACACAGGGGCGAGGCCCATCTCCCATACGGGGGCGTGTCCACCTATTGCCCTGCAGCCACACCCACGCGCATACAGGAGAATACATGGATGCCACCCGCCCCAGCCCCGGCGAGGCAGCGGCCGAGGCAGACCGCCTGCGGGGCCTTTAAAAGTGCCCCCTCCCGGCGGCCCACGGGCCCTTGGGCGCACTCGACACACGCCCAGCGTCTTTCCTCCGCCCCCCTCTCCTCTCCCCCCCCCCTCCCCCTGCTCCCTACTCCGCCCGTGTGCCCGCCCGCTTGTCCCCCGGGTCTGCCCCACTCGCCACAATGACCCGCGCCAGCCACATGCATCTCTGCCTCGCCGCGGCCCTCGCCCTGGTGCTGTGCGCCGCCGGCCAAGGTACGCCTCCGGGCGACACCGCCGCGCGGTGGCGTCACCTGCCTGCGCTCACGCCCGCCCCCCCCCCGCAATCCCGAG